AATCTCAATCTAAAAAGCTTGAACTTTATAGAGAAGTTGGTTGGAGCACTTCAGAAAAACATCCAGAGCCCAAGTGATCACCACCTCCTCCAGACTTCCAGATCTATGCGTACATGAACCAACCAGTAAGCTAATTTCTCAGTCCAAAAATAATAGTTTATCAGCACAATGAAATTTATGCTTTTCTTCCTTTTATAATACTTCATGTGAAAATGATGCACTGAATAATATTTCAGGAACTCTACAAACAGGTAATGGAAAGAATTCGGTCAGAATAAGTGAACCTGAGAGTCTTAGAGAGAAAATATGCAGATAACGTGTAGGGAGCCAAGCAACAGTCTCAAAATTATTCAGAACAATGGCATAGGGAAATATCACTAACACTCAAGCTATAAGTCATTTCAATTTGCAGCTTATGAAAACAAATGTAAAAGAAAAAAAAAAAGCCCAAGTACTTTATATATAAAAAATAGATATTATTTTCTAAACAAATGTCTAAATTAGACTTTTGTACACCTTTCATAATATTGTGATTTCTTCTTTCTGCACCTTGCTATGTTATATCTAGTGCTTATCTCCAGTAATTTGTCATTAAAAAATGGTTCATTTGTTCTTAATAATACAAGTTTTTCACTAGTTTACTGAGTGTTAATTTCCTCACCCTCTACAGTAGTCAATATCTAAGCTATATATTCCAGTGTGATATTTAATACTTAATTTTAAATCTTCAATATTTAATTCAATTTACTAGTTTTCTATAACCATATTTATGATGTTTATGATATTCTATCATCGTTGACTAATAAACATATATTCAGGAAAAGTGAAAAATAGATTACCTGAATATAACTTTTTCTCAAGTATCATTTAATTATTTATTCCTTGGTTCTCTAGCATGTTTCCCAAAGTTCGAGTAAGATATGCCCTATGGAATACCGCAGACATTTTTAAGAGTGATGACATTATGCTTGATGATGAACAGATTCATAAGAATTTAAACCTCATTATAAATTTCTATTCTGCATTTTAAAATTATTTGTAATTTTCAGAAAACATTTTTCACATGAGACTCATTTAAAGACTCCAAGACTCATTTAAGTCTCACAAAAAATCTTTCAGGTAGTTACTAGTCAATTAATAATAAAATATTGTATCAGTAGAACATTAGCTAATAAATGAAGAACAGAGGTAACATCTGCTTTGCAAAAGATATAAAATCATGCACTAGAGTATTCATTTATGAAGATGAACTGTAATGAAAAGTGGTATGGAATATACTGCTGATATGATAAAGAAAAAAATTATATGATAAAAGAAAAATTAAAACTTCACTAAGATACTTCTTAGCAATATAAATAAATATTTTTGTTGCAATGATAGTTCCTTATGCCTGAATTTTGTTTTCCAATTACATCTTATATATTTTTTAATATCAAAATGTTTTCTTGTCTTTACAAGCTTAGAATCTAATCTTCTCTGTATCATTTGTACTTGGTGATTGTAGACAGAAAAAAATTGTTTGTTGTTGATAGAACTAAACTCAGTAAGATTTTTTTTCTCATCTACTGATCATCAATTTAGTGTATCAGGGTACACTGTATATACAGAGTTTCCTGGTGAAGTGAGCTGTGATCTGTAGCAAATCGTGATTAGCACTAATTTTGTTACTTATGGAACATCTCATTGCTTACAGGTCTAATATTCAAGAAAAGGATTAGCATCTTTTTGGAGTAACTTCTCATTTATTTAATTTTTCTAGGTTGAGACTGTGTCAATTCATCATCAAACGTACATATTTGGTCTTGGCCACACTTCCTATTGATATAATAGTATGTATTTTACTGTTTATACGTCAGAGGATTTTTGTTGGTTTAACAGGCAAAAAAAAAATTCCCGCTTTGTGTTCTTCAAGACCTTGCAAATCTCATCACAGGAATACCTTATAAAGTAGATATAAAAAAAAAAAAACCATATGGATTTCTGAAACAAAGCTATCTAGTAAATTTAATCAGTGATAATTGCAAACTGCATATAAACTATCTCAGTTTCTCAACTCTGTATGTCTCATCTAAGAGAGTAGAATGTTTCTTTAGTGTGTAAAACATTTCCTGTATAGTTAATGAGCCTTTCCATGACCTTACTGGCTGAAAAACAAAATGAAATGTGAAATAAAAAATATCTTTTTTATTTATTTTTTCTTTAGTAAGAGAAATCTATACAAATACTTCTTACACATACACTCCAGCTGCTTCAACAGTTAAAATTCTTTACCAATGCTTTCCTTGTAGTAAAGCCATGTAGTACAATCCTTAAGAGGTACACAATCATATGTTAATTTTAACTTCCTATCTAAATTTTTGGTGGTAGTATAGAAGTATGTTATTCCACAGACATAATTCACAAGGACATGTGCATAAACATTTATAGAAATGCTACAAAGCAGATTGCATATAGTTATCTATTTTGGAGAAAGAACTGAAAGTATACACATCTGCTATTTTAAGTGTTGAAGCAGTATCTTTCAACAAAATTTACCTCCCTTCATTTTGTACTTGCATTTAATTTTATCTGGAAACTTTCTGACATTAGAACTAGAACAAATGTAGTTTCCCATTATGTATGCTGCCAGAATCTATGCTTGGTTGCTCAACTAAAGAGCTTATATTGCTAATTACTACCACATGCCCAAATCCCAAGCAGAGGAAAGCTTATTGGTTCTGACAATCCATTCTCTCAACACTGAATTCCAAATGAAAACTTAAATTTTGGCCAAACATAACATTTCATCAATCTTGTTCTACTGACTGCAAAAGCAACATCAAAAAAAGGATTACTAATAGCTTTTTACTGTGCAGTTCCCAAGTTTAGATTCCTTGATGAAAGACCCACACAAGCAAAAGACTTCTTTATACTACTCAGTAATTAATATTTGAACCAGAAAACAATGCATTAAGTAAATAGAACATTTTGCATGCTGATGACAGAGCTGTTTCAATTGAGAAGTTATATGGGCAGTAGAGATCTGCAGAATAAGCACTGAGTGAGCTAAAAAAAAGACAGTTTATAAAAAGACAAAAAAGAAAAGGAGAGAAAACAAAATGAAGCACGCCCCAAAGCTAGCAGGAAGTCTTTGAACAGGAATTGAGGTTTTCAGGATGTGGGATTCTGACTGAAGATCAAGTCCTAGTTTAGAGGCAACTGAGCAATGCTGGGTACTAGTGACAATGTAGAAAGTGAGAGACTAGAACTCTGTATTTAAAATGGTTTTTAAAATATATTCACCTCTTGTAACTCTTTTGGAGTTACAAGAGTGAAAAATGAGGTGCAAATTCTGTATTTGAAAATCCTCTTCTTAGAAAACAAAGTATGAACACAAGCATGAAACTGAGTAAGCCTCTGTCACAAATAAACATTTTGGGAACTGTCAGAAATAAATGAAGACTTTTTTTTCATCTTTATAAATGAATTATGATGTATGTTTCCAGTATTAGATTTTGCAGTAAAAAATAACTTTAGACACTGGATGGTACCTTAAAAATGGAAAAGCTGAAGTTGTCATTTACGAGTCATTATGACTATTATTGAATATGTAACAGTATTAGAATAAAACAAATATTGTTCTTTGACCCAGTGATTTAAACCAGTACTCTCAAATTAGTTCTTTGGGGCAAATGTAGCCTTTCTTCTCTACAAGGAGAAGAAATAATTTGATGAAATCATGATTTACATCTATAAAATCATGCATGGGAGATAACTTAGGGTGAACAAGGTGAAAACCCTTTCTGCTTGAAGTATGGAAAAGGACAAATTAGATAATTTCCTAAAGTTCCTTCTTTTGTCCTATGGAAAGGATTTTATACAATTAGTCTTTTGTGGTAAATACATATATCTGCTAGAGAATTTCACAAACATATGTAATGAAACAGAAGATGGCAACATTAATGGTGATAAAAATAAAATAATATATCTGCATGTACGTTTGATTTATTGAAGGCCAGATCTCAGATCTAGATGTTGGGACTGCCAGAAAAAGACGTTTTTAACTTGGTCATGAAAACAGACTTTCAACAGAAATGTAATGGGTTGAAACAGTTTAATAAAAACTACCTGTTGCTACCAACCAAAATGATTACTTTTTATTTTCATTTTTTTCCCACGCTACATTGATACTAAGGATAATACTTCCTCTTCTTTACAGTGGTTGTGGAAGAAAATAATTTTAAAACTCTTGGTCATACATTCGTAAAACCACTAGTTTTTGCAATATTCATATGCAATCAATAGGAGCTGCTTGAGATTCGCATCTGTTATTTGAACAATAACAATCAGTATTATCAATTGTCTCAGACAGTTGTGGAATAATCCAATTGACATAAATATCTCATTTTTCACTCCAGCAAACTGAAGTTATCTAAAGAACTGATTTTCTCCAAAATCACATTAATTACCATTGTGACTTAGTTAAGAGATCACCAAATAATTAAGCGATGCTCAAAAAGGTGAAGGGATGTTAATCTCTTTCCAGAAGCTAGCTGCATATGCAAAAGCAAGATATTTATTTATTCATTTATTTTTTTTTTCGATTTATATCAGTGTAGTCCTAATGGTATCCAGGTTCTCTTGAAGCAGGAACATAATGTTGTGACTTGTACCGTAGCATTAGCCCAGGTCTCTAACTATAGTGTGACAGTTCTCCAGTGGTAACATCTGAAGTCAAGCAATACAGCTTTTTAAGCTGCAGGTCAGCTATTACCACCTTCAGGGTATCTTTAAAGTCACACAACCACACCTGGTCTTTTTTGACTTACTTTCTGCCTCGGGTTGAGTTAAAAGTCCCGCCGTATTTCTTCCGATTAAGGATGAGAGCAGCAATTTCTGGCACGTAGCGAGCAAACATTGCCTACATGCATGAAACAAAAACACAAAAAAAAAAAAAAGAAAATGGCATGCAGAGAGTGTTCTACTGCAGCAGAGGCAGCAGAGCCTCTTGGGATACTTACTTTCTTCCACTAACCGCACTATAGGAACCACCATATTTCTTGCGGTTTCCTATTAACTCTATGATTTCAGGGACGTAGCTGGCAAACATGGCCTAAGAAGAAGACAGGAGACAGAAGAAAAGACTAAAAAGATAGGCCAAAGAAAGGGGGATGATGAATATTTTCAAGAGATAAATATTTTTAAGATCTGAAAATGCAAAAGAATTAGATCTACAAAGGTGTTTAAAAAGAAAATTTAAAAAATGTAAAAGTTCTTATCAAACAAAACAAGAGGGTTCAATGTAAAAGTTGGTCTTAGAGAAGGTGCATGTTTTATAAATTAATAAAACGGCCGAAAGAGGAAAAATAGGTACACAAAACAAAAGAAGAACAAAATTAATTCAAGCTGTTAAATAATGATAAGGTACAGTTACGTCTAAATCTTCTTGAAAAGGGGAAGGTAAAAAAAATACTCATCTTGACTGGAAAGAAAAAAAAAAAGAAAAAAGAACAAAACAGACAAACAAACAAAACAACAACAAAAAAAGCAAAGCAAAATTTAAAAAAATATCACCACCAAAAAAAAAAAAAAACCCACAAAAAATATTATCACAATGGATTTCTATGGATATCACAACAGATTTCTATTAAAAAAAAAAAAAAAAAAAAAGTTTTCCCCTGTGATTAGGATCTCAACAAAGACAAAAAGATAGAGTCAGGGGCAAATCTTCCTTCTGAAGAACAAAACAATCACCACTACCCCCAAAAATTCTTTTTCAAAAGGTTTTGTTTTTAAAAGGATTTGAGTAACATGTGAAAGAAAAAAAAAAAAAAAAAAAGATTTCAAGGAGAAAATAAAAATTATTCTGCCATGTTTTGTCCAACAAACATCTCCCTTGTGGCTGGATACTTCGAAGAGCTACTGCCAGTTGGCATGACCTCTGTCCTTGTTTGTCAATAAACATAGATGGAAATGCATACATATACTTTTATATATGTACCTGTGTGTCTGACATATATGGTATTCATAAAATCATTTTATACATATCACTCCATAAGGTGTATGTATATGTGAAATCAGTATGAGAGTAAAGTAACAAAAAGGATATGTATGTATGTGAATTAATATATATCATTAATTGTCTGTACAGCACTTACCTTGCACTGTCTGAATAATGAAATAAACCTTGCTGCTTTAGAAAAAAACATTGCAACAGGTTCCATAGAATTACTAATAGTGATAAATAATAGAAAAGCTGATAGAAGACAACTAGCAACTTTGGTGCTTTGTACATATAGGACAAAGAACACCAGAATTTGCTGATATAAAATGGTACTGGTTATGACCATGCTTCATGTGACAAACTGAATTAAAATTGAGCTATGTTACATGAAACGATGTTTGAAATTAAAGAAAATTGTGGTTTGCCATCATCAGGGTCAGGCAAGCTGCTCTTTAAGGCAGTCCAGAGCCACAGTGTTTGTTGGAATTCTGGGAAGGAACACAGAAGGATGGGTAGGACTTCTGAAACCGCAAAGTGCCTTTAAGTATCAATATTATGCTTAAAAATATGCCCTACATTCAGTCACAGAAAAGTAAAATACTAGGACTAAGTTTATAAGCAGAAATGCTAAGGCACTTCATGTATTCACATGCATTACTTATTTCAGTGGTTTATAGAAATTCTGACTCCTATGACTGTCAGAATATTTATCTTTAGAAAAAATAGTGTATTAAACTTATTTAGGAGTTTTAGAATTAATTTTAATTTATTAAGTTAAATATTATTATTTCTTCAGTTATAGCACTGAGATTGAGATATACAGAATAAGAACTAAATTAGAAGAAACTAATAAAAATGAAAAATAGTAATATATATATTTTTTTTTTACCAATCCCCCAAGGATGAAGAAGACCATGAAAAGGCGACCAAGGGTTGTTTTTGCATAAACATCTCCATAACCAACAGTAGACATTGTAACCATCAGTAAATAAACGCATTCCCAATACGTTAACTGTTGATTATTTTGAAAATTTTCCCAAGGATCCCCTGAGTTCTCCACCTAAAATGAGAAAGGAAATACACAGTGAATAAACTAAAAGTACCATAAACTATCTCTACTGATACAAAAATACGCATATTTTATTGGCAGATAATACTCTGGATAAATAAAACTCTGGATCCCATTCTGGGATTTGTTTTGAACATACAGAGGACCCAGGATTATAGATTTACCATTATCTTGCCAATACACATAGAATTGCCACTGCAACTGTTTATCGAGAAAAGTTTTTCCAATCACTACTAAACAATGTACATTATTAAAGAAAAACTAGGGCTTATTTGATATCAATTTGTCCGGATATTTTTTCAGATATTACTTCCAGTGCAATTATTCTACTTAATTGTTTTGTCATATGATATGATATAGCTATTTATGACATTATTGACTTATCACTGACTTGGAAAAGTGACAGAAGTTATAAATTTAACAGCAGGAAAGAAGTATACGAGTATACTCTGTACGCATAATAGCTATTAAGTTTTGTTCCCCACTAGGAAACCTAAAGATTGAGAATTCCTACAGCAGAAAAAATAAAAAAAGAGAAAACCTCCTTCTATCTGATGTAATTTTTAAAACTGTAAATTCTATGTTTTTTTGTTTTGTTTGTTTTTAATTCAAATCTAGAAAAAGTGAATGAATCTGTGTTTAAAAAAAAAAAAAGAAAGAAAGAAAGAAAGAAAAAAAAAAAAGCTGCAGTGGCCCAAATAAATGCATTTACATGCATAATGCATGTTAAATGAGAAATATATCACAAAAAATACCACCCAAAACCTCAGTTCATCTTCCTAAGACTGAAAATTAAACATTGACTTCTTCACACTGGTAACCAGTGATGGGACATGTGGAAATGGCACATAGCTGGATGTCAAGGCAAGTTCAGGCTACATAGAAGGACAGAATTGTTTACCCTGAGGAAGGTCAAACACTGAAACCAGCTTCCAAGCTAGGTGTTTGATGCCCTGTGTCTGTCAGCATTCAAGAGGTATCACTAGATAATGCCTTTAGTAATATGTTTCAAAGTTTGGTTAGCCCTGAACTAGTCAGGAGTTCTATCTCTGCGTGTCCCTACCAACTCAACTAGTCCATTTCATTCTAAATGATTTCTGGTATAACTAGAAGACAAGCATTCTGAATTGTATCTTATGTAGACAAATGCAGCCCAAGGTAATTTAAGTGAAGTCAAGCAAATTCTTCAGTTGAAATTATTTTTAAAGTCTGGATTAACACCAATATCACCAAATCATAACATTACTTCAAAATCATCCTAACTTATTACTGCCCTGAAATTTTCCTGATTCTAAATTCATCATAAAATGTCCTTAAAGGACAAATATTTAGTTATATTTAATTATATTTAGCAAGTAACTTAGCAAAAGCTATTGTTTTTAAATTTGAAAACATGCAAATGACACATACCTTTTATATACAAGTATATTAATATTTATGAAATGATTTGTAATTCTATATGAAGCATCTTATACTTGTCAGGTATTTTTAAGTGCAGAATAACAATTAAGACAAAAAAGTATACTATCAGTGACGAATAGAAAAATCAAACACTAGAAATCTAAGAGAAAAGCAGAAGGAATGCTATCCTAAATGGTTGCAATCCCACTGCATCTTGTGGAAATACAGAATGGCTTTCTTCTCTAGCACAACCATTGATTTCCCAGGACCTCACTCTCATTTCATACTCAGAGGTCCCATTCCAGGAAGCACTTTGAGTAGTTATTTAGGCAACATTGCCACCTACTGGTTAAGTATAATCATTCAGGAAGTTATAATAGTTCAAGTCTCACATTTATCTATTGCTGAAACTAAATATAGAGGTTAAGACATAGATTAGTATTACTTATAAAATAATATTTGAGTAAAAGCTGAAAATTGAAGAAACTTCAATTTTTTTATTTTTATTTAATAATGAACTGTACTAAGGGATCATTCAGAATAAGACAATTTCAGATAATAAGGTAGTTGTGAAAGAAAGCCAAAGAAATATTTGCAAACATACTTACCAAATGTATGAACCCAGCTGCTGTCAGCCATGTGCTGATAAATATAGAGCACAGATTCACTAGCTTGATGGAATTACTGGGGAGAAAAAAAAAGAAAAAGAACATACTTTGGAATTTATCGGACATTCCTCTCACTACTCTTTCAATTTTCCTTTCTGTACACATCAGCATTTAAACACATTCAAACATTCTGATGTCCTGGAATACATCCACGCAGACACAATGAATTAAATAAGGTAATGCCAGCTACCATTGTCTTCTGAACACTGTATTTCCACCCATAACTGACTGATGCTTTCTGAATTATTTCGTTTTTCATTAGCTTGTATGCTTTTTCCATATTCTTTTTTTTTTTTTTTTTTACCCCAGACCTGATGAGGCTTTAAATGCCAATGTCAAGATTTTCAGTGCTGACTCATTGCTAATATTTGCAAATATTATTATAGAGCAAGACCATCTTTCTAGAGATACAGCAAGCAGTAATGAACTATTGCAGCCAATCTGTGAATGCCAGACTGGTTTTGTGGGGAAAAAAATAGGATTACCAAACTTGGGTATTTTGTTTCTGTGTAAAGTCCTAAGTCATTTTCAAATTAAATCATAACATATTTCATAATTCACACTAACAGTTTCAAAAACAAAACAAGAGAAACCCCACAAATTCTTTTTAGCCCCTCTGAGTATGATATATTCTACTGTAGACAAAGGTGATTTTAAAGCAGGAACCTCACACTGAGTTCAGCAGAAAAGCACTATACTGAAGAGCTTGTGGAAAAGGTTTATGTAAAGCCTGGTCCTTCTATTCTAAAAAATATTAGTGCAATTTGAAAAGCTAGGAGTTACATCCAGCAAATACACAATGAACTGAAGTTATCTATTATTACGTGTTAAAGACCTTACACTTTCAAGGAATTTTATTGAAAATAGCTTTCCTCTGTTTTTGAAAACACATTTAGAAAGAATGAACACATCATCAGAAAACTCATGATTTCCAAGCCAGTGTGTTCCAAAAGAAGAAATACTGGGGGGGGGGGGGAAGTAGTTTTGGTAGTATAGTAGAAAAGTAGTGATAGAGTTGATTAATATTTATTTTTCTAACTAATTGAGGACAATTTCTAACCTAAGTTAACAAATGGACAAATGAAACTGGAAAATTACACAGATAGTTCCACTGAACATAATTTTTAACTAGTACAGTTGAGTGGGCAACTGTAGGGACTAGTAAAGATACACAACTGGCTAACAAATAACAGTTGCTGTAATGATTACTGTACTCAAGTTTATGAAGCTATGCCTTCATTTTTACAATTAATTAATGCACATGCACATCAAAGCATATATTCTGTGACAGTTTATTAAGGTTTGTTTGGTTAATTTTAACATTTTGTTAATAACAGCATTCATAATACCACAATAATGCCAGAAGACACTAATCTCTAGGTGCCTAGATTAAACAAAATGATAGAAATTATACTGATGCAAAGTTTCATTATGAAAAGCTAAATATAATTCTTCACCTGAATTTAGGTCAGAAGAAAGTGCAATAAAACAACAACTGTTCTCCACATATTACTGTAATATATGTAAATGATTGCAGTCATTAAAAGTATCTTCTCATTATGTGTTTGAAAATTTTTATTTTTTCGGGTTTATTGAAAATTGTACCTTCTCTGTCCTCTATGAAATACGCCTGTGTTTCTGCCAGAGTCTAAATATAGATGAAAGATTAGTCACAAACATTTTTCTGATCTTTAATCTCTTTGCAACATCTGTGCAAAATCCCTTAGTGTGAGACCTAAGTCCCTGCAGATTTGTTGAAAAAATATTTGAAAGCCATGAAGTAGAGAAATTTCCAACTCAACATCACACAACTCTATTTTATAAACACGGGAACATAAAATATTCTGAGTAAGATGTATTTCATTTCAAAGTAAGGAAACAAATAGATTACTGGCAGAGGAATATCTTCTAATAGGCCAAGGTAGATCTTTGCTTTAGTTGTTCTTTTCAAATAAAACAATAATTATGTTCTCATGATTTTCTCATTACTTTGCTGATCGTGTCAATATCTGAATGTGTTTGAAAACCATTTTTAAGTGGTGCTCGGGGACATGATTTAGCAGAGGGTTGTTAGGGTAGTATGGTTTGGTTGGGATTAGACTTGAAGATCTGCAGAGTCTGAGCAATTCTGTTATTCTATGATTAATGTTAACCACAATGAAATACTTCATTAAATTACCTCCATATTTTTTCAAATGAATGCATATAACCTTAAATAGCTATGTCTTTTTTTTTTTTTCTATTATTTTATATAATAAAAGCATCTTTTTTTTTTCTTTTCTATAATATACTTTCAGAGCTAATAATGAAATACTGAATTTACTGTTTTAGTTCACCAGGTTGAGTACTGTCATTAGTTCTTGGTCTTTATTATAGACAAACTGCGAAGTTGAAAATTTCATGAAATCTTTATAAGTGGTAGGCAAGGACTATTGAAATTTCTTAAGTTAACAAGGTTTTTAGACCCTTCTAAGCAGAACAATTTTGCAGTAACTGGTCAAAACTATAAAATACAAAATGAAAATTTATGGTAATAATGAGACTTTATGGTTACTGTATGTAACTGAAACACTGCTCAATTTTAAATAAGTAGATTTTATTTAATTGAACAGGGATTTAATGAGGATAACAACGTCAGTCCTCTGGCTCTTGAAAAATTTCTAAAGATTGTTCATTAGACACAAGTGCTCAGCACTTTCAGTTTAGTTTTGTGGAGTTTTTTTCAGAAAGATTAATAACGCAGAAATAGAAACTTCCACTAAAATAGTATCTTGATACTCTAACAGCATATGTGTATCCATCACCTACACTATCTGTTTTCTGGCCATTTGTTGCAGATTGATTCATTCATTTTACAAAATGCTGCTTTGTGAACATCGATAGTATTCAAATAATTAAGTTCACTTCAGGTTTACTAAAATACACAGAGCAGACATGTTCTTCCACTGAAAAAATAGGAACAGGGAAAAATAAAAAAAAAAAATTGAGGCACCTATTGTTTTTAAGTTAAATAAACTTTACTACTGATGAGCTGCTGGCGGTTAATCAGTCAAGTAAACTGAAACTGTCACATTAGAAACTCTGCTTTGCAGCCTTAGTAAAGGTTGTAAGCATTTGGGTTTTACAGATATTTAGGCATTCAGATAGAAAATTATAGAGACACTATCTAATCTCACATTTAAATTTCTACTAGAAAAAAATGCTATTATAATGAATCAGTTAATCTTAAGTTAGCAAGCTTTGAATAAACTGCAGTTGATCAATACAATATCCCTACACTTATGGACCTAGAAGTTTACAAATTCATCACTTCTGACTTTATCTAAAACCATTTGAGTTTATGGGACATTTCTATTAGTTGCCATGTCCTCTGGTGAGGTAGTTCTTGTGTCAAAAATACTGGATATTCTGAGCTCCTGGACAAATTATTCACTTTCTTTAACAAACTGGTAATAATCTAAGCTAATGGGCTAACATTTTCCCTACATGTTCATTAATTTCTCTATGTATCAAGGACTGGACTTCCTAGAGTCACACAGCTGAAGATATACAGATTGTAAGAGACTAGAGCACATAAAATAGTTTTAAGCTTAAGGACTGAAAAATCAGCTCTTCACTATGAGCATCTACAATTCTCAAGGTTCTATTTACTCATCACAACCAGTTTACAGGGGATGTGGACACAGTTTCTTGCTTACAAAGTTCTCACACAAGCTTCTCAACTAATGGAGAGAATATAGTATGTTAGAATTGAACTGAATTTACATTAATTATTGGAAGGCTGGTTCAATTCTTTAGCTGGGGTAATTTAAGAAGTGATAAAAGGCAAAGCATCTACAGCAGTGAAGCATGGGAAGGTTCCTGTTTTTTGTTTTTTGTTTTTTTTTTCCTCAGAGTGATCTTTTGTTCCAACCTATGCTTTTTCCACACAATTAACATGTATTATTGGCCTAAAGAATATGTGAAAAACAAAGTTAATCAGAGGAGTTTAAAGTATTCTTTGAAAGGAATGCTAATGGCAGTGAACACAATAGAAACATAGCTGTGTGTAAAATTATTTTTTTATGTGAGGAAGGATGCTCAATTCAGAAGAACTGAGGTACAGCCACAACAATTATTTTTTGAAATGCTTTTTAGCAGTATTCCTGAATTAATTGAATTATTTTCCGTTATGTAAGGCAGTGGAATACAGACTGACAATGTGGAAATAAGTAACATTTAATCAGTGAAGAGCTATGCAATTCATTCTGCTCTGAATTTATCAATATTCAATCAGATATTCCAAGCAAAATCTTCTCCTGATAACACAGAAAAAAAAATGTTTACTCTGGTAAATCAGTGGTCAGCTATGGAAAAATTTTGAAGAACAGATATTGAACTTCATTTTTTTGGCTGATTATTTTTTCAGACAAAAAAAAAATCATATATTACTAGGACCACCACTAACAGAAGCCATTTAAGTTACGCCATCAATACAATCACTCAAAATATAATTAAATGTCTTACCTTGTTTTAAGGATATTCAGAAACTGCAATATTTCTGAAAACTGTATCAGTCTAAGGGCTCTTAAAAATCTTAAACCTGCATTAAAGAAAAAAAGACTCTAGTAAAGAATAATCCAAATTCTAGCAACACTTCATTTACAAAGACAGCGATCATGAAAATAACATAGGCAGCATACAGTCTGTCAAATACCTTTGAAGTGTTCCTCCATATTTAACAGTTTCAAGATCCTCACCAGTCCTTTTTGGAATAGTTTTAAACTTAATTCCTTAACTGCTGAGGTATTCTACCGGAAAAATTCAGTTTAGCCGGGAAGCCATGGAAGGAGATTAATTGGCTGAAAGCTAAGAGGGAAAAAAGCCTCTTTGAGGTTCTGTTGATTGTTCTAACACACATGACCTTCTCTTCAGACTGCCAAAGACACGTACAGACCTGAAACTTCTCAATTTTCCAAGCTCCCATGATGCTTAGTGAAAAATAAGAGATTATGAGCAAAAGATCTGATAACCCAGATAAACTAGACTGTGGATATGCCTGATTACATTGGCAAATCTTATTGCAATAAAAGATTTTACGTCATTAATGCCCCTATCTCCACCGCAATTTCCAAAAAAATCAAGTAGTACAACAAGAGGACCACACACTCTCTCCTAAAAGTTTCAAATTTGCTATATAATTATTTCTATTAAAAAAAATAGAACTTTTGTGTTGAAATCAGGTTGCCTGAGTAGCAATTCCTAGACAACTGTAAAGCCCGTGAGAGAGAGTATGCAAGAGAAAATACTGTAAAAGATTAAGGGCTTAAATTATTAAAGGAGACTTATTCTGATTCTAAATTGGCTACAGACCTCTGGCATATGAATAAGGGTACATAGTGTACAAACACACATCTTATAACATTGAAACAGCACTTTCAGGATATTTTTTTAGTAAACAGTGCAGCCAAGAGTTACTTAAAAAATTGTATAATATGCTACTGTGACTATTGCAGGGCAGCTTCTTGTCATTCAATCTCGTGTGTTATAAAACATTTTTTCTCCCTAGAAACTTAAGGAAAACAATTAAACATCAGCACAACCTTTCTCATCCCAGTGAAGTTCAGAGGTTTCCTTCAAAAGCAAAGTTGTATGTGGTCAGATGTATGCTAAATCAAGGCTTTATTTTAACAATACTATAGAAAAGTTGCTAAATAAATTTTTTACTCCTGTTAAGGCTCACAGCTATCCTTAATAGAGCTATCCTCTTATTTGTGTACCATACATATACAAAGTTTATAGAAACCGTGTAGCTCTTAAGATTAATCACAACTTGAAAAGTGGATTTGGGGATCTCAGCAGAAAAAGCCATAAAATGATGCTTAGTAAGTCCAAATTTCAGATCCATTTGCAAGTAGAAGGTGATCATTTTATATCAAATTTCTCAAACTACAAGACACATGCTTCTGCTGTGCTTGCAGGAGTAGTCCTAGTAGCGCTAGAGTTCTAGCAGTTCCTAGAACTGAAACGTTCAAAATTGTTACATTTTGAAATTGTCCACTCCCTAGCAAATTTTTAATAAACATATAACGGAAGAAAAATAGCTCATTTCAAATGTACTGCAACTAAAGAGAATTTAAAGATATATCCATTGCAATGTTTCAAAAAGAAGCATAAGAAAGAGAGAAAGAGAGAGAAATACAGAGGCTTAAAGTCCAGCTTCCGTGACCTACAAATAGAACTTGCTTGTACAGAATCAGCTTTTAACCTCTGCATCTTGTCTAGGACACTACTTTGGGGCTTTGTTTTTTCACTAAGGAAACTTCAGTGCATTGCCTGTTCTGCATAGTTCAAGCACGAAAAACTCGAACCATAGATAAAAGTTTTCCTTATCATGACAGAATCTAAATCCTTTCCATTTATCTAACCTTTTCAATAACTGAATAAATCTGTTAGATTTTTGCACCCGTACCATTTTAGATGATCTTTGGTACTTCCTGTCTTGTAGATAATGAGTTTACAACAAGAATATATGATTTAATAAGAATCTCATCCCATATTCATAGTATGAAGACACAAGTCATAAACCCTATGAAAAGCCAGATTCTGTAAATGATATATAAAACTTCAGAAGCTGTCATGAACCCTATATGACACTACTTCATCATATTTTCCAGGAAACTTGTTGATATAAATATATATTTCTATTTTTTATTTTTTATTTTTAGAAAAATTAAACGAAATTAATTGAAATAGAAAATTAAAATAGACTACAAGAAGCAACACCTAGGAACAAACTGTAAGCACAAAGCTCAAGTGAAATAAGATCACTTGAATGTATGTTATTCATATCATCTTGCACTTTGCAAGGTGATGATGAATATACTGAGCAATTCCTAAGAGGTAAAGTCCAGTAACACTTCATTTTGGTTCTGGAATTAACAATATATCAAAGAGTGCAATCATGTATATGACATAAACTGATAACATAGTAATCCTCACAGCAATAACCCTGCTGCAGTGCAACTGTTGTCGGATTAAAGATGGCCCAAATTATTCAGTGGGTAGTTTACCATGAATCCACATGAAAAGTAAGCAAAGTTAAATAGAAAAGATTTTGGGTAGTCTTACTCAAGAATAATAACAATGGATCCATAAAGAATAGCTAGGTTATGAAAAAAAAGCATATGAAATAACTAACATAATTTCCCATGTCATGATCTCCCACTGTTCCAAATCAAATTTGACTCATTTAAAAATAAGAATTTCTTTCATGTTCCCCAACTCACCAGGAATAGAAATTTATGACATTTTCTTACACATCAAGGATACTAATCAAAAATCTATACTGAGAACACTAATAAAAAAATTCATTCATTTTCAAAAGCTGTATGAGATCCTAATACTCTTATATTTAAAGAATACAATCAGTAATTCAAATAAAATAGATTGTTAAGTAATATAGTTATGTCAATTTGCACTGTGAATGTTTAATGGGATCCTGTCTTCTAAAGTCAACTGACCAATCTGCTAAAAGGATTATTTGCAATTTTGCCTCCTCAATTCTTACTTGGCAAAAGGTTTTATGTTGGAACATTCTTGTGGGATCTAACTGGAATAGAATATAATCCTCTATTACAAAATGAAAAAAAAATATATCAAAAGGTTTAATTCACTTAGAAATTCTCTCCAATCAGATAAAAAATACACATGCTTCTTCACTGAGCTAATCTTAGTTTCTACATTCAAGACCAAGGTATGTTTCCAACCTGGAATTTCTGAGCTCTAAGATGAAGTTGAAGATCTCATAGATTTCTAAGCCAGAAAAGACTATTATGATTATCACAATTCAGATACTTTTAATATAAAAAAATATTTTATTCCATAATTTCAGTCTAGTCCAATAATTTCAGTTGTACATATAACAAATAATTCAAATGAGCCTCAAAGTATACCACGGCATTATTTTCTAGCTGAGGAAATATTTGTTCATCTACATGTTTCAGCTATGACAACTAAAGAACAATTCTGAAAGTACACTGAAGATTTAAAATGTGTGTAGTAACTTGTATTATTTTGTCAGATAATTTTCTAAATCACATAAGAGACTACTGGGAATAAAAGAAGTAACAGTGGGGAGATTTATTTTTTTTTTAAAATTATAATTAATTTACATAATGCTTATACTTACTAGAGCAGATAATTTGCAAGAGGAAACCAGTAAGTCATTTGATTAAATTAAGCTAACAGAAAACACTAAATGTTTGTATTAACAACAGATTAAAAAAATAAAAGAGAACAAAAATATCACCAAGTCTCCCAGAGGAGGAAATGAAGACAACTAAACAATTATTTATTCTTTATGAGATTCCAGAAAACAGAAATAGGAATTAGGATCTTTCCTTAATTCAACAAGAATTCAATCTAGTGAAACAGCATCAAGTATTACATTATGTCTTCAAATAAATACATAATACCTTTCTTATTTTCATATATTGCTTATTCTGAGAGTAGCATATTCAGAGGTACTGGCACAAGGACTTCAAACCGCAGAGATTTTGCATACCAACTACATTCTTTGCAAACCATTCATCCATTCACTAGAATTGTATCTTCAATGAATGATTTCACTATTCATGAAAATTATCAATGACCACTGCTACTCTATTTGACTGAGACCATATGGCTTACAGAAGACTGAAAAAACAAGAATCAGTACTAAGAAAACCAGAAAATTTTCTGAGATACACAGAATAGAGGGGTAATTTTGGGGATGAAAACAGCTCTGTTCTGAATGCCTTCACATTGTGCAGCAGAACAACCTGAGATTCCACTCCCTGTAGATGAGTGTCAAAATGAAAGCTCCAAGAACAATACAAGAAGAAGAGAATCTGCAACATAACCAAATTATTTTCATATATTTCCTTGCTATTATTATGCAAGTGTACATATGAAGCAGGTTTCACTGCATCAAGTTAAGAATCTATATAGATTGCTACTAATTCCTTTCAAGCAGTGCCATATCAAAATTGTTAATAAATATCTCCGATGCATATTTTTAATTTACATTTACACCTATTAAAATGATAGCCATCTAAAACAAAACAAACAACAACTCTATATCACTGTAGAAAATTACTTTCCATTCTTCAATAAAGACAATTATTTCATTTTATTTGAATATCAAACCCTTTTGAGAAGGCACTGCATATACAGGCACATTACATCATGCAAGTCACAGAAGGAATTTTTCCTATACAGCAGCTGAAATCATATACCAGGAATGGAAAAAATAAATACAATATCTGTTGAGTAAAGAATTGTGCTAGCACTAGAGACAGAATCACAAACTACATTTTGAAGAAAAAGTTTAGAGTTGGACCTTACCCCAGTATGAGCCGACCCTGTAACAAGACACCAAGGAGTTTCGAAAAGAATGCTGTTCTTCCTTCTCAGGGATATTATGTCCCGCTTTGACACGATATCCATTTTGGAATAGTTCTCCAAGAGACTTTTTACGTCTTCTGGTACTTTTGTAAGTTTCTGTACGCGTGCCCCCAGAAGGGCTGTGGTAGACTAAAATCTTGCTGGGAATCATTACTA